TTTGTAACATTTTTTTTAAATAATTTTTTCTAAATATATGTGTGGTTGTCTATGTGTGTGTATCTGTTTAAAAATTCTGCAATTTCATCATTTTATGACCCCCATTTGCGAAGTTGAGTATTTATTTCCAAAAATGCGAAACTCCAGGGACAATATTTGAAAATTTCTGTTTTCTTCCCCAATTTTACATATCTACTGTGAAATACTTCGCATCTTCATTCTTACACCCTTCGCATCCCTTCGCATTAATCACCTTGGCATTTTAACCTAATTAATCAAATGCGAACCACAAAATTTTCATTCCAGATGCGAACACAGTTTAGTTCTTGAACTCTAAACTTGCGAAATCAAAAATTCATATGTTGAACCCATATGCGAATATTAACCCAATTGACTTCAAATTGATTCACAGATGCAAACACTCGATTGTTTTACTTTCGCAAAATGAGCATCAACAACTCCACAATCGAGTTTTTAAATTCTTGCAAACAACAATTTCACAGTCCTTGACTTCACGTTTTTCTTCACGAATCATCCCTCAATCATCAATCCAATTGCGAATCAAAACTCATATGTTCTTGCTTTATCGATTCATCGACTACACTCATACAAATGCGAACAATACTCAATTTCAAAATCGATTGAAACTTATAGCAAAGCTAAATCCAACTTCGCATTCAAAGCAGTGTTATTGATTGCATTCATGAAATACTAACAAGATAATATATTATAATACAAATATACATATTTTAGGTGGTGAAATCGTAACAGCCTAACAATTTGGTATGCAACTTTATTAAATCAATAAAAAAAGTTATGCAAATTGGAAAAATAAATAAAAAATATATGTTTTGTTGTTTTAATTAAGGAAATAAATATTTTATATGAATACTCACCTGGAAAAACGCATATTATAATTGTCTAATTTAATCGTAACAGCCTACCAATGTACTTTCTTCTTGACTGTTTGATTGTTTTTTTCTGTGTGCTGATTATAATTGTCTAATTTAATGTAAATTTTTTTTTTTAACTTGCAAGGTACAATGGAACATATTACTCCTATAAAGGAAATTGACTCAATCAAGGACGATTTCACAATTAAAGTTCGGATCATACGTCTTTGGACTCAAAAGTCAAGAACAATGTCTTATAATTGTCTATATCCCATTTTTAGTAATTTATTCTCAAAGAACAATGCTATAATCTGTAATTTATCATCTTTTAGTTTAATTTTCTAAATATATGTGTGGTTGTCTATGTGTGTGTATCTGTTTAAAAATTCTGCAATTTCATCATTTTATGACCCCCATTTGCGAAGTTGAGTATTTATTTCCAAAAATGCGAAACTCCAGGGACAATATTTGAAAATTTCTGTTTTCTTCCCCAATTTTACATATCTACTGTGAAATACTTCGCATCTTCATTCTTACACCCTTCGCATCCCTTCGCATTAATCACCTTGGCATTTTAACCTAATTAATCAAATGCGAACCACAAAATTTTCATTCCAGATGCGAACACAGTTTAGTTCTTGAACTCTAAACTTGCGAAATCAAAAATTCATATGTTGAACCCATATGCGAATATTAACCCAATTGACTTCAAATTGATTCACAGATGCAAACACTCGATTGTTTTACTTTCGCAAAATGAGCATCAACAACTCCACAATCGAGTTTTTAAATTCTTGCAAACAACAATTTCACAGTCCTTGACTTCACGTTTTTCTTCACGAATCATCCCTCAATCATCAATCCAATTGCGAATCAAAACTCATATGTTCTTGCTTTATCGATTCATCGACTACACTCATACAAATGCGAACAATACTCAATTTCAAAATCGATTGAAACTTATAGCAAAGCTAAATCCAACTTCGCATTCAAAGCAGTGTTATTGATTGCATTCATGAAATACTAACAAGATAATATATTATAATACAAATATACATATTTTAGGTGGTGAAATCGTAACAGCCTAACAATTTGGTATGCAACTTTATTAAATCAATAAAAAAAGTTATGCAAATTGGAAAAATAAATAAAAATATATCTTTTGTTGTTTTAATTAAGGAAATAAATATTTTATATGAATACTCACCTGGAAAAACGCATATTATAATTGTCTAATATCACTATTCTTCATTTTTTCTAAACTTTCATATCTTTTTTTTGTTACAAATTAAAAACTATAATTATATTTCAATTTATCACCCGTGGATTTCCACGGGTTTAAACCTAGTATTTATATACTTTCCTTGCAAAATTGACATAAATACCCTCGATACAAAAAACTTGAATTGAAGATTAGTCGATAACAACATTACATGTTCAGCAGTTGGTCGATCCTTTGGATCAAAAGCCAACAACCTCTGCAAGAGTCTAAGTGCCAATGGATCAACATGTAATCAAAAGCAATGTATTTTTTTTATGTTAATAATTTAGCAAATATGTTAATAATTCAGCATATATATTACTAAAAATATTAATAGAAAAACAGAAAATTGAAACATTTGATGGATAAGAAGTTGGACTTGGATAAAATAATCTTGTACGCCATCAAAACGAAACATTTTAAAAAATACAAAAGATAAGTAATGTTTTTACAACAAATTTTAGCTTTTTTTTTTTTACCAATTTAGTTGAATACATAACATGTCTTGAGTTCAAAAAACCATTAAGTCAAGTGCACCCACTCTTAAAATACCAATGAGAATTATAAAAAACTATTGCCAAGGGCTGAATGGCAAAATGGTAAAGACATCAACCAAAAAGAATTGGGTATGCAAAGTGAACTTTATACATGTAACTTAACATTTCAGCACATCAACAACAACGTATTAGACCCATGATACATCTAAACAACATCAGGGGTGACCCATGATACATCTAAACAACATCAGGGGTAAAATGGTCAATGGTAGATAAAATACATTAGACTCCATGAATAAACATTGTAAATAAGATGGCAGATTTTTGGTTTTTTTATTACATAACTATGAAATAAGGAAGATGTCATAATTAAAAAAACATAATTCTTGAAAAATGAAGCGTCGTCTATTGGAACCACACTAAAAAACATAAGCACTAAAAAAATAATGACAAACGCAATAATCGAACACATGCCTCTACCATACAAATTTATGTACACAACCATCTCAACTAATATTAACTTTGTTTCCTTTCTTCATATAATATTTTATATCCAAAACCTCATATACATATACCGATCATAACTCGTAGGGGCCCCTAATTTTGATAAGCTTAAGGCGGTCACCCAACTTGCCCATGCTCTAGGGCCAACCCTGAGTCTCAGCCTCACAGAGGCAAAAAGGTCAAAATGACAATATCCATCAATTGCAAATGCACCACAAACCATCAACACTAAAAAAAACTTTGCAAAATTACAAAACTGAGATGTAATTCAAGAAGTCCATCACATGGAGTATTTGACAATTATTTGTACATAAAAATAGCATGTAACAACCCATTAAAAATGTCCATTTCAAATATTGTTTTGACTTTTGACCGTATCTTTAAAGAGTAAGTTGACATTTTTTAAACAATTAAACACATATATTTCACTCTCGAAAAGTAGAAAAATGTTTATTAAAAATGTTTGGAATTATATTTAATTGGTGTGTTTTACTTGAAAATGATCAACTTTAATTATGTAACATTAATTGAGGACTTATTCTTTGTATATAAGTCAGATGTGTTAAAAACACTTTAATAATGACAAAATCACCCCTTTAACTTTTTGCATTTACTCTAATATTTGGTAAGTGATATTCTGAAATCTTATTGCAGGATTTTCATTAATGATATAAGAAGGGGACTAGGACTTTCTATCTGTTGCTGTGACAAATTCTGGTATGTAAAAGGCTATGAATTTCTATATATTTCTGTAATGAATTCCATATGTTGTATAATGTTTCAATTATATTGTGATTTTCCATTCAATTGCTCCTCCTTCTGATCCTTCTGTGTTTTTGAGCGTTGTCTTTGACTTTGTAGGTTTGACCGTCAGTGCTCAATTATCGCCACCAACAACCTGTGCTCTCTGTTATATTTTGGAATTTCGGTATGTCATATATTGTTTTTATTTGATTTTGATTTTTTGTTTACATCTTTTTTGTGTCGTCTTTTTGTCGTCTATGCTCATATATTGTTTTCGTAGATAAATAAAGTTTGATCTCTAGATAAGCAATCTGATATTTTTAAACATTAGTTTAAAATTATATTAGTGCTTGTGACATTTTTTTATACATAATGGTCTTATTTCAATAATTTGTCACACTTAATTTTTAAATGAATGTGTCAAATAAACTACTTATACAACCATTCCAATCAGTGGAAGCATTTATCATATTTTAAGCACCATTTAAACCATGCCCTTAGCTACATTCTAAGTTTTAGAATATGCAACAATATAACAGAATGCATTTACATTTTGAAAAATGGTGGCAAAAACAACGAATAACGTACCTTTCCTTCTTCGTTTTAGAGCCTCTCAACCACCATCTTTTTCTCAAATCACTTACAATTTGGACTCAAACAATTACGACTCTAAGGTATGTCAATTGTGAACTATTTCTTGCTCTCAATACGTAACAACTTTCTCAATCTTTGTGAATATGTGCATAAATTTTTATAGAATGCTCCATTTTCAATTTTATCATGTTTACAAGCTTTAGTTGAATATATAGCATTGTATGTTGGTTAATGACTAATTTTGTTGTTCCAAATAAATTTCTTATGACTGACATTCAAATGAATCCATGGGTTAAAACAATCATAGACTACACTATTAATCTCTTCTAAATGTTTTTTAAAATATACTCCAAAAGTTAGTTACTAATCATAATAGTTAGTTTCAAAAATAACTTCGTAGTATCTAATTTACCATACGAATTACATATAAAGTATGTTAAAAGTCGATGAAATTTGGATTTTCATTACAGTAAATTCCTTCTTGTGATGCCTCCAAAACGGCGACAAATGGCTTCTACTTCATACACAATAGTTCCCCGTAGTTCACGCAGGAGTTCACTTTTAGTAGAAATACCAACTTTGCATGTTTATTATGACTGTTGGAATTGTTCCTGTGTGTGTGAGTATTGTGGGGCGTATTTTTGGTATCAAGAGAGAGCATTGTATTTATCCCAAGCCAATCATCCACGATATACGAAATGTTGTAATTTGGGAAATGTTGTTCTTCCCTACCCTCTTCGTCCGCCTGAAATGCTTATGCAATTTTATGAAGATGATCATTTTATGCATAACATAATAGCATATAAATCCATGTTCTCTATGACGTCTTTTGGTGCAAATGAAGATCACTCAATCAACAAAGGTCATGCGCCATATGTGTTTAAAGTCAGTGGTCAGATTTACCATTGGATTGGATCCTTTTGTCCTCAAGATGTTCATCAACCTAGATTTCTACAGTTGTATATGTGTGATACTGAAAATGAGGTTGCTAATAGACTTCATTCTTTTCATGGTGAGGGTGAAGTACTTTTGTCTGCAGATGTTGTAGATTCATTTAGTCAAATGTTAAACACACATAATGAGTATATCCGTACGTTTAAGACTGCAAAAGAAATTGCTCAGTCAATGAATTTAGATTCATATAGTGTGCGGTTATTTGGTAATGTACCTGACAGAGGATATGGGCCACCGGCCCCTGGAAGTTTGGGTTGTATTGTTTGTGGTGATGATGTTACTGGGGCTGTTTATGACATTGTTGTCTATTCAAAGTCTGGCTCAGTTCGGCGAGTTAGTAAGCTTCATCCGACATATATGCCTTTGCAGTATCCATTACTATTCCCATATGGTGAAGAGGGATGGTCTCCCACCTTGCATTTACGGATTGACTCTAATAGAAGTTTAACAAATAATGTGTATTACAGTTATAAAATTCATGATCGACAAAATTACTCTCTTATTTTACATGCACCAGTATTTGGTGGATGCCTATACTTGTATTGAACAATCTAGGCTTAACTTTATTGAACACCATTAGCAGTAGTTGCGTTTAGAGTACATCAGTGGTGTTTATGATGCTTTGGACAAAGGCGATACAGATAGTCGTGTCATTGGTAAGCGGGTCTTTCTACCTGCAACTTTTGTGGGGGGGACCTAGGTATATGTATAAACACTATAAAGACGCTTTAGCCATATGTAGGGTTCATGTTAAGCCACAATATTTCATCACTTTCACTTGCAATATCAAATGGCCTAAGTATAGAAGATACATGGATGCTATTGGTCGGCGTGATATTCAAAACAGACCAGATATCATTGCACACATCTTTAAGATCAAAGTTCATGCTTTCATTAACTTCCTTAAAGAAGACAAAATTTTTGGAGATGTCAGTGCATGTACGTTTCTAAGCTCTCATTTCATTCTTCTTATTTTTTTGCTTTCTTTTCCTTTTATGACTTAACATAATATACTATATTTTTCTTTACAGATCTCTACACCATTGAATTCCAAAAGGGGTTTACCACATTGTCATACGTTATTGTAGGTTGCATTGCCGTTTAAAATACAGGAAGGTGCAGATATTGACAAATACATCACCGTTGAGCTTCCTAATCCCATACTCGAACCAGAACTATATAGGACTGTTACAACATGCATGCTACATGGTCCATGCGGTTTACTTAATACAGGTGCCCCATGTATGGTAGATGATAGATGTGTGAAACGGTTTCCAAAACCATTCAACTCATTAACAACTTTCGATGAAAATGGTTACATGCATTATAGAAGACGTGTTGGACCGTATCATGTCTTACAAAGTGGTGTTAGAACTGATAACGGGTATGTGGTGTCGTACAACAAACGTTTGTGTAGTCGATTTGATGCTCACATCAATGTAGAATATTGTGGTTGGAATATGGTGATTAAGTACTTATTTAAGTACATTTCAAAGGGCGTTGATCGTGTTCGTTTCACTCTTCAAACATCAGAGGCGAATACCACTACTTCCTCCTCTACCATACCTGTCGCTGTGAATGAAATCAAGTCATTTCTTGATGGTCGGTATATATGTCCACATGAAGGAGCATGGCGAATCCTTAACTTTTCCAAAAAATGCAAATATGTTTTCTTAATATTTGGTTCCAGTTTTAGATGCATTTTAATTATTAAAAAAAATCAACAAAAATCAAAATCTAATCATAAATTTAAAATTTATCAACAATTTAAGGAAAATATCTATATCCAAAAAAATGCAAATCTGTTGTCTTTATAAATTTTAGATAACATTTTTATATTTTATAAACTCATCAAAAAGTAAGAAAAAATCTGATAGATGAATTTTCTTCCAAAAAACGCTAGAAGATCGATGTTTAGAAAATAGTAATGCGTTGTTCTTTTTTTTTTTGTTTGAAAAGTTGTTTATAATAGTTTTACAGTTTTATTTGATTACCAACGAATGAAGACATTATTTTGTGATAGTGAATTTATGAGATGTGTTTTTAGCAACTTTATGTTTTGAATTAGTGGTAACAAATGTAGTTAAGAATATTTACAAGAAATTTTTTATGGGGTCTCACTTTAGTTTTTGCACAAGGTCTCCAAAATGTCAGGGTCGGACATGCAAATATTGAATTGATTTAATTAACCAAATAGATCAATCCATTATAAGTCTAACATAACTTGAGCTAAACACTAGTAAATTTGTTAGTTTATCCGCTTGATCACCGTATGAACGAACTTATTTGCTAAAAGATTAGGTTAGTAAACATTAATTCGGTCATTAAAGGAATCGGTAATCAACGAATGTTAATCCATTGCACTTCCATTAATTCAACCATAATAGCAAGTATATCGAATCTAAATGAAAGTCTCTCATTTATCTTGATTAAAATCATCTTTTGTGTTTCTCACTTTTTAGTTTTGCTTTGTGTTTCATTAGTTGATAATTAGTTCCTTTCTAAGTTTTAGATTGATTAATTAAGTTTCTAGTCTTGCAAAACTAGAAAAAAAAAAACCCCTTTTAATTAAATAGTAATTTAGGTAACTTTAGTAGATAAAACTAGCTGATATTCTATTTTTATTTTCAGTACATTATCTTAGGAGTAATAACTAGTTCATTTTATTTTTTGAAAAGAGAAAACTAATTGAAAAAGACTATTTTATGAATTTTTAAAAGTTTAGAATCATATTCTAAAGACAAAATTACAAAAATGGTCCCTATGGTTTGACAAAAGTCACAAAGTAAGTCACTACTAATTTTTTTTGACGAACATGGTCCCTGTGGTTTCCAAAACTTGCATCAATGGCCATTTTTGCTGACGCCGTTACTGTTCATCCGTTAGTGTAAGGGTATTTTTGTCTTTTCAAGTAGCAGGGACTGAGTTTGTAACTGTGTGTAAACCATAGGGACCATTTATGTATTTTTTCTATATTTTATGTTTATGAGTTTGTGATTTTTCCACTCATTTACTTTTTAAAATATCACTTTGAACTCTGAAAAATGTTACTTTTATCTCTCTATTTTCTAAATTTTCGTGTTTAACCCCGTATTATATATAATTTGTTTTTTATTAATAGCTTTTGTTCGCTAACCTAAAAAAACTATTTTCACGTGTTTATTTTCATATATTTGTCGGTATAATTCAAGGTGATCAACGTTTCGATTATAATTTAGAACTTTCTTTCATTATTTTTTTTAAAGTTACATAATTTTTTTTTTTTTTTAATTGTCGGTTTAAATTCGAGCTTATTTTTCGACGTAGTTTTTTTTTTTTTTTAATTTTTTTTTATTTTAACTTTATGTACGTTTCCTACGTATGAGACGGGTCATAGATAATAACTTTCGTTTGTTAATTTTAAAAAATATATTATATTCGAGATTGTTTATGTTTTGATGTATTTTTTATACATTTTGTGCTTAATTTTATATACATTCTTACGTATCATTCGGATCATATATAATAACTTTTGTTTGTTAGCTTAAAAAAATGTAGTATATTCGAGTTTGTCTATGTTTCGACCTAACTGTTGTTTCATGTTTTTTACGTATCAATATAGATTCGAGTTCGTCTATATTTCGACATAATTTTTTTATGTTTCGTGCTTATTTTTATGTACGTGTTTTTTTCATTCATGTTTTTTTTATATCGAAATGCAACTTTTATGACTATAATCACCAAAATTCAACTTACAAAATTCAAGCTTATAATTACGCTTTTATCTATTATATGTGAACAAACTTATACGTAAGAACATACATAAAATAAGCACCAAAACATACAAAAAAAAAAAAATTAAATCAAAACATAAAAAAATAAAGAAAAATAAAAACTCAAATGTATATCAGCACGTGCATAAAAATAAGTAAGATTTTTTTAAGTTAACGAACGAAAGTTTAAATAATAAAAAATATATAATATGTGACCCTAATTATAAGTATGAAACGTACAGAAAATAAAGCACGAAAACGTTAAAAAAATATGTTTCGCAAAACGTTTTGGTGCTTATTTTATGTATGTTTCTACGTATAAGTTTGTTCACATATAATAGATAAAAGCGTAATTATAAGCTTGAATTTTGTAAGTTGAATTTTGGTGATTATAGTCATTAAAGTTGCATTTCGACGTAAAAAAACATGAATGAAAAAAAACACGTACATAAAATATAAGCGCGAAACATAAAAAAAATTACGTCGAAATATAGACGAACTCGAATCTATATTGATACGTAAAAAACATGAAACAAAAGTTAGGTCGAAACATGGACAAACTCGAATATACTATATTTTTTTAAGCTAACAAACGAAAGTTATTATATATGACCCAAATGATACGTAGGAATGTATATAAAATTAAGCACAAAATGTATACAAAATACATCAAAACATAGACAATCTCGAATATAATATATTTTTTAAAATTAACAAACGAAAGTTATTATATATGACTCATCTCATACATAGGAAACGTACATAAAGTTAAAAAAAAAAAAAAAAAACTACGTCGAAAAATAAGCTCGAATTTTATAAAAAAAACCATGTTACTTTAAAAAAAAATAACGAAAGAAAGTTCTAAATTATAGTCGAAACGTTAATCACCTTGAATTATACCGACAAATATATGAAAATAAACACGTAAAAATAGTTTTTTTAGGTTAGCGAACTAAAGTTATTAATAAAAAACAAATTATATATAATACGAGGTTAAACACGAAAATTTAGAAAATAGAGGGGTGAAAGTAATATTTTTCAAAGTTCAAAGTGAAGGGTTCAAAGTGATATTTTAAAAAGTAAATGGGTGGAAAAGTTACAAATTCATAAACATAAAATATAAAAAAAAAGTACATAAATGGTCCCTATGGTTTACCCAGAATCATAAACTCAGTCCCTGCTATTTGAAAAGACCAAAATACCCTTACATTAACGGATGAACAGTAATGACGTCAGCAAAAAGGATCATTGATGCAAGTTTTGGAAACCACAGAGACTATATTCATAAAAAAAAATTAATAGGGACTGATTTTGTAACTTTTAGCAACGATAAAGACTATTTTTATAATTTTCTCTATTCTAAAACTTTTTGTCAAATCTCTAAAAAGCTGCAAAACAATGGAACCCGATCCAATTTATTCAGCTGGTGGTCCGCTTCGACCCGTTAATAGCCATGAATGGCTTTGGGTTGCGTGATTGTATCCCCACTGGTTTCTCAACTAAAACCAACAACAATGGTTATAAGTTTACATTTATTTTCCCAACCGGCAAACGTCGCTCATACCCGCCTCCGGCAGCTCCTCCACAAGGTAATTCTTGTCTCTCTTCCTCCATCTTTTTTGATATTTCACAATCACCATTCAATTTGGTATTACATCATCAGTTTTCGACGATTTGTTGTTCTAATCGTAGTGATGATTGATTTAAAATCAACATTGAAGCCTAATAATCATCACGAATAACATAAATCCCCTGAATTTAACAATTTTGTTGCTTCCGACTTCGATGAAAAAAATGCTTTCAGAAAATTAATTTGTTCAATCCCCTGATTTTGATTTTTGATCATGCAATGTAAAATTTTGTTACACAACAGCTCAAAACCTGCAATTCTAGCTTCGTTTTGTTGTAAGTTTGACCTTACATAGAACTGAATCAACTTATGATATGATAATTCGTAGATTTGTTTTTGGGAAAGGATCGAGATTATACTCTCCTTACAATCTGATTCCTTTTTCTGTTTGTTTAAAAAACATATGAGATTCCAATTACTATAAACAACCATAATCATTGTGCACTATCCCATTAACAATTATTCTTTGTCAAAAGTTGGAAGGTGAACCAGATTAACATTAAGTAGCTGGAAGATGAACAAACTGACATCATCAAACATGGAATTAGACCTAGATCGACCCAACATTGAAGATTACCTCGCCTCTGATTCCATTCAAGAACCTCTTGGAAAGCTTCGACTGTAATATTCATCTCTCACCTCCTCTCTCTCTCTCTCTGTCCACGTGGCATTCTGCATTACTTTGATGAATTGATTGTAATCGACTGATTCAACATTTTGTTCAGGCATGATTTGCTCGACATTTCACCCACCCTAACAGAAGCAGTCGGCGCCATTGTTGATGCAAGTATTCATTATCTTCTACTCTCTACACTTCAATCTGAACGATAAAAAACAATTCATAATTCATAAATCATAATAAACCAACAAAAATTCTATTCTAATTTCTACACAAACAGGATTCATTCACACGATGCTTCAAATCCAATCCTCCAGAACCATGGAACTGGAATGTGTATTTGTTCCCATTATGGTGCTTAGGAGTCGTAGTAAGATATGGAATTCTTTTCCCTGTAAGGTTAGTCTCTCTAATTCTCAACCACTTTATCACATTTCACATAAACTTTATCTATCAAGATAATGACCATTTTGCCCTTGTTCATTTCACAGAGTTTTAATTCTCACAATTGGTTGGATAATATTCCTTTCATGTTATATCCCTGTGCATGTGCTACTAAAAGGACATGATAAGATCAGGAACAAATTAGAGGTATAATGATACAACATTTTAATTTTTTTAATTTTTTTTTTTTTTAATTACAAATTTTGAAAATGTAAATTTATTGTTAATCTTCAGAGGGCATTGGTGGAATTGATTTGTAGCTTCTTTGTTGCATCATGGACAGGGGTAGTTAAGTACCATGGCCCTAGACCATGTGCAAGACCTAAACAGGTATTAAATTTTATAAACTGATAATGATTTTTTATAATGTAATTTATATTTTATAAAATGTTATACTTAAACTGAGTGTATGATATTATTTTATTATATATAAACAGGTTTTTGTAGCCAATCATACTTCCATGATCGATTTCATTATTTTAGAACAGATGACTGCATTTGCTGTAATCATGCAAAAACACCCTGGATGGGTTGGTGTGTAATATGTTCATCAGTAATTTGTATATAAATTTATGTAATTAACTAATTATGTATATTACAAATTTTATAATTTATAATATAATTATATTTATGTGTAGGACTTTTGCAAAGTACAATTTTGGAAAGTTTGGGGTGTATATGGTTCAATCGTTCAGAATCTAAAGATCGTGAAATTGTAGCAAGAAAGTATGTGAAAAATGAAAATGAGATTAAAATTTTTGTTTGTTTATATTTTTTATGTGTTATAATATAAAAATAAATGAAATTTATGTTGATGTTTATTTAATTTAGCCTTTTATTATAGGTTAAGGGAACATGTTGAAGGAGCTGATAATAATCCTCTTCTTATTTTTCCTGAAGGAACTTGTGTGAATAATCATTACTCTGTTATGTTCAAAAAGGTATATATATATATATATATATTTTTTATTTTATTTTAAGATAATTAAAATAAAGTATTAAAATTTTTTTTATTTTTATTTTTCAGGGTGCATTTGAACTCGGATCCACTGTTTGTCCGATTGCAATCAAGTACAACAAAATCTTTGTTGACGCCTTTTGGAATAGCAGAAAGTAAGAACCTTTTTTTTTTTTTTTTTTTTTTTTTAATTATAAATTCATATTTATAATTTTTTTTATTACGCTTAAAAAATTACGTGTTTTTTGCATATATTTTACAGACAATCATTCACAACACATCTATTGCAATTGATGACGTCATGGGCTGTGGTGTGTGATGTTTGGTACTTGGAACCCCAAAACATGAAGCCGGGAGAAACAGCTATCGAGTTTGCTGAAAGGTAAGGGCATTTACGTCTTTTTACACATACAAAAGATGTAGATCTAGACCGAGTCCATGTCCCACCTTCTTAAGTGAAACAAAAGTTTTAACTTTTGTTTCACCGACATCGGTCACAGTCTCAGTCAAATAGATGTCAAACACAGTACAGTATGTTCTGATCTGATCTATATTGTACTGTACTGATGTGTTGCAGGGTTAGGGACATTATTTCGGTTCGGGCGGGTATTAAAAAGGTTCCGTGGGATGGATACTTGAAATACTCGCGCCCAAGCCCAAAACATAGGGAAAGAAAGTAAGTTTAAGTATTTGTTTTTGTTGAATAAATTAATTGGTAAATAAATTTGTTATGGAAATAAATAATTAACCCTTTTTAATTTTAATAATATGATTTTCATTTTGAAATATTGTATTGCAGGCAGCAAAGCTTTGCGGAGTCGGTGTTGCGTCGTTTGGAAGAGAAGTAGAAGCGGAAAATAAATGTCACTTTTTAATATATTTCTTTTGAGTGTTTGATGAATGTTTTTGAGATATTATATTTTTATTATATTAAAGAACCAGATATGATCTTATGGAAATTTTAAACCTTTTTTTTTTATCAGTTAAATTAGTTATTTGATCATTATAAGCATGGAAGACTAGATAGATTTGTTTATTGTGTTTTAGACAGTTAAGTTATAGTTGAATATTTTTTTTTTCAAGATGAGAGGTTATTGCATGCTTTTTTTTTTTTTTTTTTTTTTTAAAATCTCTTTCATGTAGGATGACATTTGGTTAAATCTAGAAATTTGTATTTTCATTCCATAAAATTTTGTTTTAATATCATTTTATCATCAAAAAAATAAGTAACAAATAAACTACGATGGTAAGCCTTGGTCATTTTTATAACTTCATTGAAAGGGGTACTGGTTATATGCTTGGTCAACGTCAGAGTAAAAAGTCAAAAAGTCGTCCCATGAATATATTGAATGAATGCTTCAAAGTCTTTGTGTGACATTAATTTCTACAAAAATATGGTTGATGTTGAATGCAACTTTTAAAGAAATAATAAGTATGGAGTTCAACAACCCATGTGAGAACGAATGATATAGTTTTCGACATTTTATTTTATTGGTAAAATTTATAACTTTTTATTTTCTATAAATACATACTTATATCGATATAGGTTTTTTTTTTAATTTTTTTTAAATTTTTTTATAATTATATATATATATATATATATATATATATATATATATATATATATATATATTTTTATTTTTATTTTTATATCAATATTTATATATTCATAATTTCATATATGAATAAACATTTATCTTTTGGAGCTTTTAAACATTGAATGCAAGAAACGATGTTTAATTAGTGAAGGCATATCAAGTAGTGGATTCACATGGGATTAGAACTCGGACCCATGGCATCACATCCGAATCAAAACCTGATACATCTCAAAGCGTTGTTGTTCATATATCAAACAGACTGGATACTTGGAGTTGCAAAATTTGAGCGAATGGGTTGTCTACGGTGGAGGCTTTCTAGAATAAATTGGACGAATTTACCCCTATCTTACCATGATCCAAAGTTGAATGGTTGAAAGAAGTTCCACTCAAAGTACTGTGTTTTGTCTGGCGGGCCAAATGGGGCAGAATCCCATCAACGCAGGCTTTGGAAGTTAGAGGAGTTCAAACACCCTCACTAAATTGTGGGTATTGTTTGAACGGTGTGAGTTTGCAGTTATAGTGCGCAATTAGATCATGAATTGGTGTGGTATTAATCCAGGAGGTATTGACAGCATAGATAAACTCTTACACTTTGTAGCCAACTAGAGTCAGTGTCCGAAGAAACAGAGAATACTTACGATGATATGTATGGAATGATTTGGAGTCTTTGGAAAGCTCGGAATTGTAGGATCTTCAATCAGGAGAAAAGGAGTCCAACCCAAGTTATTGATGACATTCAATCATTGGTTTTCTATTGGCTAAAACACAGGGGCTCAATGGGGATCACTCGGTGGTGTGGTTGGATTGTGTCTCCATTTGTTCCTTTATAATGTTGTGTATTTCTTTGTTTCCTAGTCCTTTTTCATTCTTCTGTAATTTTTTTTGTACTTTTCCTTGATGGGCTCATCTAGCTTCTTGCTAGGTGTGGCTTCTTTATAAAATTGTTAGTTGTTTTCAAAAAAAAAAAAAGAATGCATATTTATCTGATTTAAATTATAGTATAATCCATTGTTATTCACATATAAATAAAGTGTTCCTTATTTCTATGAATAACATTAATTAATAAATGCAGACAATGAATGGGTTGTAATAAAACTTATATACATAGTTTTTTTTACAGGTGAATAATACATATCATGATAGCACATATTAAAAAAAAATGTATTTTACGTTAAAATATATTAATATAGATGGGGATTTATAGAGAATAATATATATATATATATATATATATATATATATATATATATATATATAATATATATATATATATATATATATATAGGCTTAGGTTAATTATTTTATTTTTACTAACTATTGTGTCCCAAAATGCACAAATCTGGACCAACGGATGGAATTCATCAATGGACATGATTTGATAGTGTATGATATTATAATGGGATAACATGTACCATATAATCACACAAATTTTAGCAAAAGGGTATTTTTGACAATTAACTACAATTATAAAAGGAAATTTTCGAATATTTTGGATATTTAATTCTCCTAATTTTAAAAATATGATTTTTTTAATTAATTCAATTTTAATTCTAACATAATTTGTAAACATAACCGATTTATTATGTCAGAATATATTTTTAGTTAGAATGATACTCTTTCAGAATTTTATTCTATTAGAATATTATTGAATAATAAAAAAGTTTTGGAACCCGATGTTGAAAAATAATTACATTCTAACATATTTTGTTATAATAACATAATGTGAATCATAAACTATTAAATACATTCTGAAAAGAATACACAAAATAGATTCTTGAATTAATAATATACCAAATAATTAATTGTGATTCTTTGAATAATAACAATATTCTGAAAGAATAACACGTGTAATTCTTAAAAAATAACAACATTCTTAAACATTGAGCGTGATCATTCTTTAATTCATTCTTCAAAACTTTCCCATCAGTTCTTCAAGCAATTTCTATCACAAATTCTGTTAGAATGCAAGAGTAAAATTCTGTTAGAATATATTATCAACATATAAATATTAAAATTTTATCCAACTAAAACAGTAAATTCTAGCAGAATTTATTATCAACATATAAATAATTAACCAAAACCATAATCGGAAGACATGAATAAAAAACTTAACAAAATTTTATCCTCCCAATTTATTAACAATCAAATAAATAACGGATTTATAACCATGGTTTTTATCCTTTCATGTTACTTGCAATTTCTATGACTTTATATATTCTGATAGAATATACAGAATATGATAGAATACATAAAATACATTCTGGCAGAATACATAGAATGCATAAACACACACACACACACACACATATATATATATATATATATATATATATATATTAAAAAACTAATGATTGTGTTCCAAAATCAAAATCAAAAAGCAATTGGATGTAAAATCTATTTTCAGGAGTGAGGTAAATAATTTCTACAGTTAAGCATAAGTTACTACATCACATAAGCAATCTTTTGTTTTCTAGTTACAAATGCCTAGATTTCAACTATGCATTTTATCGAACACGTGTTGTGCTTCTTCAGTTTTTTTTAAAAAATTAGTGAGAGTCTTACTAATCATCATGTCGCCATTGATGGAAACATCCATGGAGTTTGATAACTCCTTCCGTACATTATCGCTTGGTTCTGAACATCGTTTCTCTTCTTTCTTTCGCCACTGAAACAACATGTTTTCTTCTCCTTTGTACAGCCACATTCCCAACTGCAGTTTCAAATAAATATAATTAAAATCACTTGTCAAATTCAAACTCAGTCAATCGTTCATAAAATGAGTCAAATTCATCCACACGACATGAAATGGATTCATCACTATATCATCACAATCAACATAAATAACTGGAAGAGAGAAAAACCAGAGTTAAATTCCATGTGCTATGAACTGTAGAGAAAGAAAGCATGCCTATATTCTTGATCGGTGGCAGTGTTCGACGGTGGTGGCGGAGTTGATCGGTGTTGGGTGAAAGCCAAAGAGAATGGAAAATGGGTGAAGGGATTGAAGACAATTGTAATTTTCAAGCGTAGGGTTTTTTGGTTTGATTTTGATATCCCATATTTAAAGGGATGATAAATATATTGATTATCTACCATATTTAAATATGTCAAGATTACTATAATACCCTCAAATGATTTATTTAATGATTTATTATTTCTTGAATTCTCATTGGTGCACACAGGCACACAATAATTGTCAAAAACATTTAAACCTATCTCTCTCTCTCTCTCTCTCTCCCTTTCTCTCTCTCTCTCTCTCTCTCTCTATATATATATATATATATATATATATATATTCAAAATTTTATTATAAAAATTACATTCTAAAATAGATTCTCTCTCTCTCCCTATATATATACATACATACATACATACATACATACATACATATATATATATATATATATATATATATATATATATATATATATATATATATGCAGGTCTTTTGAAAACCAAAAGATTTATGAGATTTTGCGAACTCATAATCAGATCATCATTTTCCAACACAAAAAACATCAATCTTTTCCAAATGGTGCGTCTAAGCCATATCTAGGCTAAAAGAACATTGATGATTTTTTTGTATAATTGTTGATGAGCACAATCAGCGGTAATATGGATTGCTGATGAGCACAATCAACAACCATATAAACTACTGATAAGCACAATCAGCCGTCATACTGACTGCTGACATCAACACTCCATATGGATGATGACTATGCACATCCACAATCCATATGACTACTGATTGTGCTAATCAGCAGTCCATATGACTGCTGATTGTGTACACATCAACTTTCAAAAATAAATAAAAAAAATGCCAAATCTTTTTTTAGCCAAGATAATACGACTTAGACACACCATTTGGAGAAGATTGATGTTTTTGATTTTCAAAAATGATGAGTTGATTATGAGTTCGCAAGTTCACACGGTTTTTTAGTTCTCACAATAACACAACCATATATATATATATATATATATATATATATATATATATATATATATATATATATATATATATGGTTCTCTTGAAGGTGTCACATTGGAAATGTGTCATCCGGTTCAAGAAGCAGGGCAAGCTGAGCCCTAGCTATATTGGTTCCTTCAGGGATTTGGCTCAGGTGGGCCGGGTTGCTTATAGTTTAGATCTTCCAACCAAGCTCAGTCAGATTCATAGCACGTTTCATGTCTCTCAGCCGTGGAAGTGTTTAGCAGATGATTCCGCAGTGGTACCATTGAAGGATATTCAGGTGGATAACCGCCTGAACTATATTGAGAGACCGGTATTAATATTGGATCGGAAGACGAAGACCTTGTGGAACAAGGTTTTCGAGCTAGTGAAGGTGTAGTGGTAGCACCGCAAGGGAACAGAGTGGACTTGGGAGTCTGGGGATGAGATAGGGAGCACTACCCAGAATTA